TGGAAGTTGGAGGCCTCGGCGCCCAGGGCGAAGGGTTCCTCCTCCACGCCCGCCTCCCCCTGGTCCCTCTGCCTCCGCTTCTCGTCGGCCGTCTGAACCAGATCCAGCAGGTCCGGATTCGGGGTCACCTTGGGCTTCTCCACGAAGGTGAACATGGATTTCCGGCTGCCCCGGCGGGCCATCGACTCCTCCAAAATGCCGGTCTTGCTGGCAGGAGCTGCCTGGCCTTTCGGATGAGGCTTGGGGTCAGAGCTGGGGTACAGGGCAGAGTAAGACGGGGGAGACCGAACTCGGGAAGCCATGGGGGCCGCCGACAAGGTCTCCGCGTAGGTGGGGGGAGGCGTGAAGTTCCCCAAGGGGCGTCTCTCCAAGCCTGGACTTCGCTGTCCCACCAGCCTCCTTTCCACCATGGGGCTGTGGGACATGATGTGTCTCTGGGGACGGGGGCTCCTGTCTGCCATGCTTGGGGGCTGAGGGGCCGCAGTCTTCTCCCCAAAGTGTCGTCTCTCTACCATGGGGCTCCGCTCTATCTGACTGGTGCCGCCTGGTGCCTGGACCCCAAAAGGCCTGGCCGTCCTGTTGACAACCGATGGGGGCTTGGCCAGCGTGAGGTGGACCTCACTGTACACCCTGGTGGGCGTGGTGGGCGTCGTGGCGCCCCGGCCCGACAGCTCTTGTTCTGGGGCTGGTAGGGCGCTGGGCTGGACGTCCATGAGCAGGGAGCTCGAGGTGAAGTCTGGGGCTGGAGGCCCAGAGCTGGGGATGGGAGTCGCTTCTCTGGAGAAGGTGCTGGGGGTGGAAGGTGGAGCTGAGACCTTGTCAATGAGTAGCGTGCTGGATTTCACCTCCTCGGCCAGAGTCTGGGCTTGCCTGTCAGCACCCAGGGGGCCGGGTTTGGAGTCTGGCACTGTGCCGTTCGCTGGGACCTGCGCGTCTGGAGAATTCTGCTGTGTGCTAGAGAATGGCGAGCCCTGTGGGGTGACAGTTGCTGGTGGGTTCTGGTTGACATCGGTGGCTGGCGGGTTGTGGTTGCTGCTCGGAGCTTGTGTGGTGAGTGTGGCATTGGGGAGGTTTTGGTTGATATCTGCGGCTGGGCTGGGGACCTCAGATGGAGGTGGGGTGGGTGGGGACTGCGGGGCCTCGCGGTTCTGGGACAGGTGGAGGCCATTGGCCGTCAGCAAGGCTGCATTCTCCTTTAAATAAACCACCAGGGGCACCTCTTCTTCCTCGCTGGCCATCTTCTCCAGGTGCCGCAGCAAACTGGCCTCCTCTGAGTACCCCTCCATGCTGTGGCCAGGGACCCCTCTGTCGGAGCTCGGGGGGTTGGGGTGCCTCTGAGGGCCGGGCTCAGGCAGTGAGGTGGAACTCAGACTGAGCCCTGGGGCATGGCCTGTGGGGCTTGCAGGGAACGCTCTGAGGGGCTCCTGGCTGGGCTTCTGTCCCCGCCGGCCGCAGCTCTCCAAGGTGAACTCGTTCACTCTCTGCCGGCGTCTGTTGAAGAGCTGGACACCGCGGGAATTGGAGCTGGGAGGGGTGGTCAGCTGGGCAGCGATCTGCTGGCTGCGCACCTTGGCCTCTTTCAGGTCCTTCTCAGTGAGGCTCGTGCTCCGGCCCAATGCTGCGGGAGGGACAGAGGTCCAGTTAGCACACGGAATGTGGCACCACGGGGACACACCCGCCCGGGAAAAGGAAGCCCTTCACTCACTGCATCCTAGAATCAGCCCTCCTCATAAGGATCCCTGACCACCCTTCACGGCACCACCTCTGTGAAGCCTTCCCTGATTATCTTTTCAGGAGTAACAAGTCCTACACTTGGATTACCCATGAAGGGTGTTGACACAGCACATAACCAAACCTAGTACAGCCACCTCGCCCCAGAAGTCCAGGCCCATCGTGTCCTCAGATCATCTCCCACCACCCAGCTCCGTCACCAGGCTCTGCCACACTGGCTTCCTCTCTGTTCCTTGAAAATACCAAGTAGGTTCCTGCCCCAGGGCCTTTGTATATGCTGTTCCCTCGGCTTGGAATGATCTCCCAGATGGCATTCCGTGTTGGTTCCTTCTTGCTGCTCAGACGGCGGCTGGAATGTCACTTCTCCACAGGGCCCCTCCCTTCTCCCACCTCATCTCTCTGCGTTATTTTCTTCAGAGCATTCACAACCGCCAATGCTGTCCCTGCCTCTGGAGCTCAGCTCGAAGGGGGCAATGACCTTACTTGACTTGATTCTCACTCCAACCCTGGGTCCTAGAATAGTGGCTGCTATGAAGTGGGCACTCAGTAAATGTCACGGAAAGCACAGATGGACCCCCAGGGCATTCTCTCCTTTCCTTTCCTAGGGACCTTTGCACTTGCAAACTTAGAGGATAATCATTTGCTTTGCTTAGATGTTAGAGAGAGATGCCCTGCACACTCTTCCATTTAAAAATAGGCAGTTCACGTGGTCTAAAATTAAGAACACGAGGGACCAGCAGTTGGTGTAATGGCTGTCGCTGGACTCCCATGTAGTTGACTGCAGTTTGAGTCCCAGACCCGGTGGCTTAAATTCACGCCAGGCGCGTGTGCATGCGTGCCCAACATTCCGAGAGGAGAATGGAGGAGAAGGGATTGTGGTGTGGCCATCCCCCCTGGGAGGTGATTTCTTGCTTTCTGTCTCTCTGTCTCTCTCTGTCTTTCTGGCGAGCACACGCGAACTATAGCAAAAATCTCTCCAATAATAATAATAATAAATATTAAGAACACGAGAAGGTATACAGTGAGAAGTGCCCCTCCATCTCTGATTATTCCACATCACAACCAAGTGAACACTGTTGTCAGTTTTTTCTGTATTCTTCCAGAAGTTCTTCCCATTTTATTGAAGCCATCTTCTGAAAATTCAGCACGTTAACACCAGGGAAGTAAGGAGTGGGCTGATTCCGGCAGCGACTACACGAGAGCACTGCCTCCCTTCACTTATCCGAGAACGCCATGCAGCAGCGTGGCTCGCCTTTGTTTCACAGAAGAGCAAACTGAGGTCCAGAGACTTGTAGCCCTGGGTGACCAGGCTACCGGTGACAGCGGGCGTCAGGATCAGCTCTCTCCAGCCTCCACTCAAGCTGTCTCCTCATTCCCAAAGGACCCGCCGGGACACATGAGGTCAGAGTCAGCGGAGGCTGGGGTTCAGTCTGGAGCCTGAGAGCAGGGTCAGGCTGGGGCGAGTCCCCTGTTAACCTGTCATTCGCGGTAGGCCATTCCCCTTCTACCCCGAGGGCCCAGCTGGTGCATCACAGGTACTCTGTGCTCGATGAACAAACGGATGCCAAACGAATGAACTGACAGACAGACGGACGGATCATCGGTGGCCAGGGTCAAGAGCTTAGTCAGTGTCTGAGAAAATTCCTCCCTTCCCATCCCTCCCTCCTCCACTGTGGGAAGCTAATTAGTTTTTGAGGAATCTGACCCTGCCCTCCCCTTCCTGCCCTCATTAGCACTGGCCATGGCATGCTGACCGGTCCTGGGGACAGTCTTCCTAGGCACCCTGCCAGCAAGGCTCGGAATTCATGGACGCCCAGGGCTGGGAGGGGGCCTGCAGAGCTATTCACCACCATGTTCTAGTTGGGGAAACCGAGGTCCAGAGAGTAGCCCAGGGCAGTGGCTACTACCTGACCCTACCCCAGAGTCAGTGGGGACGCCACCCAGAGCAGAGGAGACACAGACAGAAGCTTCACTAGGATCAGCCACAGGCTTTCTGGTCGGCTCAGCCTTCCTCCCACCAGGGCCTGGCTGTCCCCTGGCCCACTGGAAACATGAGAGCACACAGCCTACCCACCACCTAGGGCTTCTCTCCTGCCTGGATGGCCCCACTGGAAAAGGCAAGGACTAGCCAGGCTGGGCCCCTAGGCAGAGCCTGAGTGAAGGGTGGCAGCCACACAGGGGCCCCATGAGAGCTTGCTCAGCTCGGGGGATGTCTGTCTTCTCTGTTTTGCTTAGAACGTGGGCCTCCTGGATTGAATCCACGCTCTGCCGTTTGCCAGCTGTAGCACGTGTGACCTTGCCAAGTTGTGTGTGACCTTGGCAAGTTACTGCACCTCTTGGAGTCACAGTCTCCTTAGCTGGGAGAGAGGCCTAGCAGCACTTGGCGTGAGGGTGGGAGCCCACAGTGACAGTCTAGTGTCGTCAGACCCAGGTGTATGGACAAAGGCTTGTGCTACTTGGGATGAGCTGACAACTGGTGAGCCCGTTCCACTCCCTAGAAGGTGTCTGATCTAGCAAATGACCTGTGCTAGCTCAGGGTCCTGAAGGTCACACAGCAAGGATTCCAGGGTTATAGGGAGACAGCTCATTGCCCCAGGTCGCAGAATCTCAGAAGCAGCCACCACTGGTCCAAACACCCACACCATTCTTGTCCCCCAAGTCACACCATCAAGTGTGTAAGGCTCTGCTCACACGCTAAAGTGACAGGAGCTTCCTACCCTGAGGGAGCACCTTCCACCAGCAAACATTCCTCAGCTATAAAGTTGCCCCTTATGCATTTTCTGTTTTTAAATTTTGCTAGAGGAAGCATTGTGTTTGCTGGAGAGAGGCAGAAAGAGAGAGAGAGAGACAGTACCTCCCAGGGGGATGGCCCTTCCACAATCCCTTCTCTATTCTCTCAGGATTTATTTATTTATACAAATATTTTAAAAGAATTATTCATTTAACTTATTATTATTATCCTTCGATTTGACCAGAGAGAGCGAGACAGAGAGAAAAAGAGAGAGAGAGAGAAAGCAAACCACCAGATCTGGGACTTGAACCACAGTCACCATGTGGTAGTCCAGTGCCTTAACCACCATGCCACCGGCTGGCCCCATGTTCTCTCAGGATTTGGGGCACGCATCACATGTGCCCAGCGTGTTTTTCAAGGTGCTAAGTCCAGACGCGAACTGCACAGGCAGCCATGTGGGATCCAGCGCCTGAACCACCACGCCACCAGCTGGCCCATGTTGCTCCTTATATCAGCACGCACTTCTGGGTGTGGTTCTGCTTCCCAGGGCCACGCAGATAGAAAGCTCTCTCTTTCCCGACAGCCCTGCAGAAGTGTAGATAAAATCACGTCCCACGCAACAGCAGGTAAACACCCCCAGTCCCACCAGTGTTCCTCAGGACAGTCACAGCAAGAGTCACCACACCGACGGGGCGCTTTCTGTGTACCCACACACGCATTCCTTTTCGTTCCCATAACAACCCTACAAGGCACACACTTGGGAGGGGCAACACGCTGCCAGGGTCACAGAGCCAGGCCGCAGCAGAGCTGGGCTGGCACCTGGCTCTCCATTGCCCAGAGAGCACCAGGCTCCGGCCGACAGGCTCCCACAGCGCAGGGAGCATGGCAAGTGCTTCAGGGTTTGAGTAATCCGGGCCGTTCCGTGGCCGTGCGTTTTTCTTGCTTTCCTCTCAATTCTTCTGCTTCAATCTCATTCCCAGCTGGCTCTAAAAGGCCACAGGCTTAGACAATCCCCAAATGTCAGCGGGTGAAGGTCCCTCAGGGAGAAGCTGGTCTGTGAGGCTCAAATGGGGGAAGGGCCACAGAGGCACAGAGGCCGCGGGCCCAGGACTCACATCTGGGGACTGCCAGCCAGATTCCGTTGGCAGCCAGGGCCGCCGCTGTGACCGCTCAGCAGCACGACCACCTCTCTGAGCTTGGAACCACTCCAAGCCACTGTTCTGGGACAAGAGGAACAGCAGCAAAGGCCATGGGGTGAGCGAGCCCTGCCCTCCGAAGAGAGCACCCCCACACCCCCTGCCCGCGCCCGCAGTGACGCCACAGAAAAGGAATCTGGCGAGAGGTTTGGACCAGCCCCGGCCAGCAATCCAGACGGTTTTTGCCACCCTGACAAACAAGGCTGTGAAGGGGGGCTTGGCCAACTACAGGCACCCCCGGGTCCCTTGTTGCAGGACACTGGCGGGGGGAGGGGGCTCCATTTAGAATTCCCCAGCCTAGGGGACGGCCGCCTCTGGCAATGAGCCAGCTAGCTGGTGCAAGACTGTGCTCCCCTGTGTGAGAGAGGCTGCAGGGGGTGCCACGGGCCACATACGGCGGGCTCCTGGCTGACCGCACAGCCTGCCTGTGGCCTCCTCTGTGCATGTCATCATGCCCCCACCAACTCTAGCCTAAGCCTCTACAGGGCCAGAGTGGGGTGCTAGCCCTTTACAGACCACCGGGAACACTGGATCAGGAGAAAAGCCTTTAAGAGAGGAAGGGGTGGAGGGCGGGCACAGAAGGAGCTGCCTAGGGTGGGGACTCGGGTCTGACAGGGCAAATCCTGGAGTGGGGAGTGGGCCTAGAAGCCCCCAGCACAGCCCTCGGAATGAGGGTTTCAATGGTTACTATAATTACTGAGCCCTCGCTCCAGCCCAGGCACCGGGCTCTTACATCATCCTTGGTACCTTGTTCGAGTCTCACGACAACCCCAAGAGAAATGCTGTTTGTCTTCCCATTTTGCAGATGAAACCAGGGTTCAGAGAGACTTGTCCACAGTCTCTGTAAGTGGCAGAGCAGAGACTCAAAACTCAGAAAGTCTGGCTGCCAAATCTCATCTCTAGATCTAAACTCTAGAGGGAGGGGTGTCATGGGACCCCTGTGTTCCTGGATGACGGCCA